CCCTGCAGAGGCCGTGGCACTAACTGAGCCAAATGTGTGTGAACTGGGATGTGACACGGCATAGGCTCAGGCACGTCCCGACTCACAGGCAGATACACAGATTTAATAATAGATAGCAAATAATAGAACTACATTCCAGAGGTGGTTGTTTATTAAAGTTTGAAAATCTGCACGACGGCAGAGAATGACTCTTCGTAATATTAAAGAAATTGAAAAATAGCATCAATGCAGGAAGAAAAAAGCTTGGCTTGGACTAACAGTAATGCTATTATGCATATTATATATTTATGGATTGCACACAGTGGATCATAGAAAGCAGTGATGACATAATAACTGCCGTAATGATCATTGATTTTCTGCAGTGAGGAAATCCATATCTGTTTTTGCAGAGAGCGAGTATGATGTAATGACTGTGTGAGGACTGGAATATACACTGAAACAGCTTCTCACTGGCAAACAATTCAACTAATTAGTGAGATAAGCAAAACGATCTCTATTTTACTCTTTGAGGCTGTTTTATTTATACTATGGAAATGTGGGTTTGCTTGTAAAGCAGTGTGTTGTACTAAACAGAGGAAGCAGGGTCTGACCTAAGAGGCCCTGTTTGGCCATGAGAACCAAAGCAAAGTCCTCTGGGATATTTCGCCCTGTGTCATCTTGTCTGTTATGATTCCCATGAACCACAGACCGGACTTTAGTAAGCAAAGGAAGAAAGCAGCTGTGTGATTTTAAATAGAGCTGGTGATGACTCCCTGGTTCTCCAAATCTTGTCACAACCAAATATACCTTATACAGTATATGTACATAAAGGAAATGTACAGTGAACCTCCATAATGATAGAATTGTATTTTCATTATTTTTGTATATTCATTACTTCCTAGCCAGAAAGCTACTACGGGGCCAGGGTGGAAGTCTGTGCTTTATTAAGATATATAAGAACAGGAACAGCAATGAATTAATGAGTCAGGAAATGATTTTTTAATTCTGGCCAGGTTATTATGGGGGAGTTTCTACCAGCCATTTCGTAGCCAAAAAAAGGAAGACAAAAAAACAAAAAAGACCATTAATCACATTGATTCTTTGCCAGACTGCAGGCTAAACACCCCCCACACTTCACTTCCTGTTCCCCTCTCTGCTGGCTCATAGGTTGATAGGAAAAGCTTTTGTATGTGTGTGGGCGTGCGTGCGTGCGTGCGTGCATGTGAGAAGTCTCTCTATAGTAACCTAATGAGATACGTTTATTCTCCATCACTGAACTTTGGCTTTTAACCGTAGTCATATATATATAAGCCAAACACTGCTAGGCATCTGTCCAACATAGTATTTTAAACTCTTCAGCTTCATAGACACTGTGTTTGATAAAGCCTTTAAACACCATCTCACAATGTACACCTTCTCTTCCTGTTTCACTAAACGACACAACTGAATATGATATTCTGCTTTCACTACAACATGAGAACCTGAAATTCTGAGTAACGCAAAAAACGTTGTGAATCAGTTCACTGGAATTAACTCAGAACCCAAAGTAATTCAAACGCATTCATGTGGTTATCTATTAGCCAATATCTCAGTATCCAGGCATCATGGTTTAACTGCAGCAGAATTTTTGTAGACTTTCTCAGATGGAAACCTGCTTTCTCTGAGTGCTTCGCATCATGCCAAGTTGCCTCCAGCAAGATGTTCACATGATGTCATTTCTCTCTCATTTCCAAGTAAACGTTTTCTCTGAGGCAGATCTATGTGATCAGAGTCAGCATCCTCCTGTAACTGTAAATCTGTAGAAACTAAAAACAATGGCTCCCTTCTTCTAAATCAAATTAAATGAAAATCACAAGTTGTTGTGACCAGATGTATCTGGCATCTGAAACAAACATTGCACTTTTGTAGATTTCTAGATTTCTTTCTAGACTCATCCCTCCATCTAAGTCTAATATGCAGCAGTTACACTCAGGAGTCTGGTTGAAAAAACTGATGAATCGTCAACATTTATTATCAATAAACCACTTCTGACTACTTTCTGCCACTCTTTGTTTTTCCTGATTGACTCTGTAGCTCTGTTACTCTGCGCAATTAAGCCTTTTACATATTTAGAGCATTGTGCAGTGAAGGATTTGAATTGTTCTTCTGGGAGGAAACATTTTTGTGAACTGAATTGGCTTCTTAAGTAAGTAAGCACAGTATTTGAATAATTTGGTATTTCTTTTGATAACTTATTCAGGTGTGAAAACTCCATTGAGCATTAGAAAGGAAGTTATAAGCATTATGCGTAATGCAGACAAGGCGTTTTCAAATAACTGAGCAAAACAAAAGCTTTTTTAAACATTTGCTAACATTTCCACTCTGCACAAAATAGCAATTTTTTTTGTAATGTAAAACAACACTATGAAACTGATTTGTCATTAGTAAAAAGATCCTTTTTGACATAATTCAGTTACATGCTGATGTGTGACACCTAACATTGGGTTTGGAAGTAAGGAGTGGTCTTTTTTTGATGGTTAGAGAAACAGCCCCTCAAAATGCCGGTAACTGTCAAGTGAGATTAATGTAAGGTCCCTTTTTTATTGCAATAATTATGAAGTCTCAGCAGAGACTTCAGGTAGCAGCTCTAATTAGAGCGTGTTTCTATCAACACACAGGAATCACAGGGATGGGGATTTTGCCAAACACATGGCCCATCTTCTCTTTCTGTTTACTGAAGGGATTATTACAACATGGGTGATGGGAGTGAGGGATTAGTGTGGATGGGTTCATGCTCACAGCGGTAGCCATGGACTATCAGTGAGGACCAGGGAGAAGAAAATCCACTGCTTTTACAGTAATTAACAGAACGTTTGTTGTGTGTCCACTACATCAGACTGGGCCACCCTGAAAGCATGCGACGCCTCAGCAGATCTGCTTTGGATCATCTTGTGTTTATGGCAACTGGTGCTAATATCTGCCAGAGAGTCTCACTTACTATAATCAAACTGTGGGTGGCAACCATGGCTGATGCTTCAAAGTTTGAAAGGTAAGTCATTTTAATAATCGATGATGGTGGGCACAGTTGATCATCTTCCTTACCTATACATTATGTGTCTACCTAAAAGTTTCCCTCTTAAGGTTGTTTAAGATCCTTTAACAAATAAATGTTGGCTTGATAATGCACTTCTGCTGAATAATAGCTTGATTTCTTTTGGGGCATGCTTTCATTTGAAATATTAGGCATGTAGGTGGACCCCAGATAAACCATGCAAGAACCAGAAGCAGAATCCAGACATTGAGAAGCAAAAAACAAATCTAATTTGTGGGATGAAGTCACCTGAACGTTTTCTGGCAGTCCTCAAAGAAGTTAAGAGAGAAGCCTGTACAATGTGCTAAACCAATCTGTCCAACAGGAGCAAAGCGAGTCTCTATTTATATGATTCTGTTCTCTGGCTTTTCACTGGAAATAATGTGATTCATTCTAGACTTAATTACCACAATATATGACACAGTTGTGTCTGTTGCAGCCTTAAGATCTGTAGTGTTTAATCTAATTGGGGTGTTGAATTAATAAAGCTTTACATAATTCACAATGTACATGACAGGTCTCTTACTCACAGACAAACATAGATCTAGAGACTATGTGCTGTAGAGATGAGCAATGGCTTGGATCCATTGCTTCCTCTCTCGTCTCCTGCAATCCCCTTTCTCTGAATGATTCTCAGTCAGCTGGGAAGGTGATGTATTGATGCACTTTAGCAGATGCACACCACTGGGAACAAGCATGTGCTAAAAAAGGGGAAAATCAGCCAGAAAAACCTGGAGTTGAAAAGTTCTCTCTGCAACATTTTTTTCCTGGGTTGTCACACACTGTTCCAAACTTCCACGTCATTATGAATGTGTCCTGATAAGAGTTCATTATTCCCCAGCTGAGCGCTCAACAGTGTGCAGCAGTGACAAACCACCAGGAGACCCAGATAAAGAGGCTAAGACAAACGGCACCCAACCAGAACAATCTCTCTCCTGTAACCTCCTGTGGCCTGGAATAACAGACATGATTGGTGAGACTGGCTGCAGGGAGCATGGGAAATCGCTTTTTGGGGGAAGTCCTTTATCTTTCAAATGTCTGGAGCTATTTTTCCTCCAAATGTATATGGTCAAAGAGAATATGTAAAGGTGAAGGTGAAGTGATCATTAGCTTATCTTGGTGGATGTGTCACTCTTTGCATCAGTGTGTTCTTTCCTCAGAGGACCCAGAACTAATAGGACCATTAACCAATGTGTGTGGATGAGTTGGTACCACCTGTGAGGCTGGACCACAATGATAGCAGAGACCAAGTTAAATGAAGCAGGGGGCTGTTAGTGAGGCGTTCTGCTTCATAAAGCAAAGGGAGAGTAAACTTCTGCTCCATCTGCGACCAGCTGCTTCGCTTCTCTTCACCTCTTTCTGCTCGGACACTTGGGGAATGACCTCATCAGCCACACAGCGCTCTGTGTTGATACAGCGTGTTTCTTGCCTGTAAATAGCTCCGTTGCCCCGTTAGAAACCTCTCTGAAGAATTCAACTTTTTGTTGAGTAAGAAGAGAACTTTTATTGAGAACATAATGTCCTTGGTGTCTTAACAATTGTGCTCTAAAATATGCTTGAAAATGTACTGAATGCCTTATGTGGGCTGGAAAATCTGCAAATCTGAGATATTATCATGTTTTCAATGTATCTTTTCTATTATACACCAATTATATTAAGCCATACATTAACTTACTCCATCACCCTGCCCCGAGTATTATATTTCTGATGAAAACAAAATGAACCTTCATTCATTTGCAGACAGTGTAGAGAGAGTTAAAGCCCCTTTTAATCAACAAGGAATCATTGTCACTATAATGAGCTAATGAAAATCAGATGACCATGGCGAAATAAATCAAATGGATTCGGATGCCTTCTGTTAATGCAAAATTATATTAACCAACCATATATCCTGCGTCGCATGCAATATGTGAATGATACAAAAAGAGAAAGAGAAGAAATTATGTAAAGTTTAAATTATGAGACAATCTTTATTTCATTTAGCAGTCACAGCATATAAAAAGTGGGAAACAGTCATATCAAATATAAAGTGACTCCGAGGGTTGTCCAGTCTATACATGGCTCTGTGTCAGACGTAGCCAATGATATTGTTGCAGATTAACGGCTGTCTGCAGCGTGATTTCATGAGGGCTGCAAAGTTGTAAAAGTCTGGGTCCATCTCATTGAGGCCTGAGTGAGACTGGTGGAAAAAAGGGACTTTGGACTGAGATACCGCTACTGGACAGGACAGACGTTTTGCAGCATTCGCAGTTCTGTCAACGTGCGCAGAGTCTGTGGATCTCATCCTCACTCTGTCCTCTACACTTTTAGAAAACCCAACCAGTTTCTTCCTCATGTTGACAAAGAAACCCCTCCCCACTCTATTTCCTACATTCGGCTTCAGCTCAGTGGGTTCAGGACAATCTGGCAAGTCCATCCAGTTCTGTACGAGGTCTGCAAAGCTGTTGTCGCCCAGAACTAGAGGTTGGCGGTTGCGTCCCCTGGTCAGTAAAGAGTTCGTCCAGTCCTCTTGGTTTGCATCAAACGATGTCCACGTCTCTAGACAGGCGTCAGACGTGGATTTGGGACGGATGCGTCCACTTGGAGCTCTGTTTGTACGGAGGCAGGCTGAAGAGGACACCCGCACGTTCCTCGTCCTCCTGAGAACCACCGCTTCATCCTGCCAGGACGCCTCAGAGTAGCCTGAATCAAACTCCAAGCTTTTGTGACTGCTGGGAGAGCCCAGTCTGAGGCTCAGGCTGGAGTCGTCCTCGTCCTCCTCCAGAGGACTCGCCAGGCAGCAGGCCGAGTCGTATGTGCTGGCCGTGCTGGCTGTGCTGGCGTCAGATATCCTCAGGCGTGTGCGCTGCTCTCGCTGAAACGCTCGCTGCTGACAGGCCCGAGCCACCGCAGAGTGGCACACCAACGCTGGGAGCTGGGTGCTGAGGGGGCGTCTGGCTGCAGGGCAGGTCCTCCGGAGCTGTTTCAGGTCCTGCAGTGACCTCATCATGTACTGCATCTGCTCCCGTAAGCAGTCGCCTGAGTCAGGCAGGCACAGCTGAGGAGACAAAAGAGAGAGAGGGAGAGTCAGACAAAGTGTCAATAAATCCCACACCATGGCAGATCTGTTGATAGAGCCATGCTGACAATAGCACATTACTCAGCCTAATTGAGGAGGTGTTGAAGAATGGCTCTAATAATAATAATAAGAGTTGACTAAATTCACAGTTCTTTGGCACACTCAGACTTGCTCAAAGTGGGTTTGAAGCTATTAAAAAGAAACTCATTTTCTGTTATTGTAATCATGAAGGTCAGCCGACCTGCTGATCAAAGAACGCACAATAGACAGATTTTCAAAACAAAGCAAATCCATCTGTCCATTAATTTACTCAACCACACCAACAACTTAGGGAACGCCCTGTTCTTATTGTGTCAGGTGTGATTCAACTGAAAACCCAGACAGAAGTTATAAGAGGGAGTTGTACTAAAATGTCTCCCCTCAGCTATTTCACTGCACACTGAAACAACATCTGCAGTATATCAAGGAATAACTGGGGTCTGCTGGATCCAGATTTAGCTGCAGGGGTCCTGCCTCTTTAAGGTTGCCTGACTATGAAATTCACCAGTGACACACTAAGGAATATAATACTTGTGTTTCCTCTCTGACTCCTGTGCTGATTGGTCAGAATCAGCCAGTGAGCAGCGATGGCTCACTCTCAAACACAAACAGGGCATAAGAGACCATGTGACTGTGTGTGTGAGTCTTTAAGGGTAAACGTGAACAAAGATGAGGTCCCATATTCTTTGTAAACCAAGTCTAGCTATTCTGGTCTCTTAACTGAGCCTGGATTCATACCATAGTATATCTGGGCAGACTGGGCTACTGAATAGTGTTTCTTTTATATATAAGTATGAGATATATACACACCAAAAGTCAGAGGAACCACAGGAAACAGGTTCATATGTGGCCATAGAGGTCACATCCAACACAAGGTACTTGACTCAATGCCAGCACTAACCTCTGAACCTGTAATGACCTCTCTACCCTGAATCTACACAATCCGTTTCAGTATTTGACCCTGCTGCAAGACCTTCTGCCCCCATTTGGTTTTCATCATAACTCTGTGAGATGTTGCAAGAACTTGAGAAAGTACCCAAAGCTAGCTGGAACAAAAAAAGCAGGGCATGCACTATCCGTATAACTAAACAATCAATTCATATTATAAACTACTCTTCAAAATCAGTGAGTGTCCGTTAAACAACTCCATATGCTGCCATAACTGTCATTATTTACTCCAACAATGCTGCTGTGTTTAGATCATGAACTCACACTGTGGAGGCATCTGAGCATCACTGACCGTTCAGCCGTCTGCTGCACTGGCAGATGTTTACTCCATATATTGATCATAATATACTAAATATAGTTGCTAGGGCTAATATTACTCAAGGTAAGCAATGTATAGGCTAGTGCGTAAAGGCAGCTCGGTTATAATGTCAAACAATAAAGTACAAAACTGATTTCGAACAGAAAACGAACTCACCATTTCTTCTCCTCTCATTTGTAAAACTCAGATTCTGCAAAAAAAAAGAAAAGAACCAGTTTTAGAAAAACATACCCACACACACGTAGGCTAATAATTCCGTAAGAAATCACAACAGCGTGTAAAAAGTAGGCAACACAAGCACACACTCACTTCTAATATGGCACTCTATGTCCAAAGTAAGTAATATATCCCATAAACAGAGTTAAGCGTCCCGGTTCTTTCAGAAAGTGTTACAGTGTCTGCAGATGCCTCCTGAACAGAGGTGTATGATCTGAGTGACTCTTCAGCCCTGCTCGCCTCCTTTTACAGCTCCGCGCCCTGCTGCCAGTCACTGTGCATCGTGTCTGAATGAGCCAATCAGAGCGCAGGACGCACACACAGCACAGATCCTAACCAGCTGTAAGAGCTGCAAGATAGGAGCATAGACTGTATATATAAGGATAGGATAAATAAGTCCCATAAATTGGATCTTAGATCAATATAGGAAAACAATTCCTAATTGTATACTTGATATTGTAGTTTCAGGAACCGTCTCCTAGATAAGACTATGATTATTTTTAAACTTCACATATATATGTTTTTGATCCTAAAATGACATCATGCTTAAGGCTTTGAGTTGGTTTAGGAACCTACTCGTAGAATTAGATTATTTTTGAATGAATGGGATGTTTTGATGCTTCTCTGTAACTTTATGTGCCCATGATTTAGTTTGTTGCATTATGATCTGTCTTCTTCCCCCCTTAGCATTTGATATAGGCTACTGTGAATTTTTGTAGACAATGTAGACAAAATCCCATGAAGATATATTTTGTTTACTATTCTAGAATAATTTGTAGACCATCACATATTCACATTTGAGACGTTTCATTTCATTTCATTTTTCATTTCAATCTTTATTTCGAACAGATTAAAAAATTAAAAAATAAATAACAAATGTGAAAAACAGAATACCGTATTGTTAAAATACAGTATTTATCCACATTCACGATAATATTTATATATTCAACAACAAAAAATGATAATTAATTAATGATAATAATAATTTAAAAAAATCATATGTGTCCGAAAGGGAGTAGGAGGAAGCAAATGCTTATTAATTCCCACCCCTTACTTGATCAATGATTGTCCTTTAAGTCATTATGCAAGTTATTCCTACTTACATTTACATTTATACATACATATACAATAATTTCTCATCTTCAGTCACCTCTCTTCATTCTCATAGTTTTCCCAAAAAGTGTTTCTGTACATCCTTTTAAACTGAATTATGCTTGTGCTTTGTTTTAACTCCTGCTCCAAACCATTCCATAAAATCACCCCACAGATTGTTATACTCATACTTCTCAGAGTTGTTCTGACCTTGAGTTGTTTAAAATGTAGATTTCCTCTCAAATTATACCCACCCTCTCTGTCTATGAACAATGTTTTTAATTTCCTAGGAAGTAGATTATGTCTGGCTCTGTACATGATTTGTGCCGTTTTAAATTTAACCAGATCAGTGAACTTCAATATGTGTGACTTCAAAAATAATACATTAGTGTGTTCAAGATATCCAACATTATTGATAACTCTTATAGCCCTTTTTTGTAATGTGCATAACGGCTGTAGGTTGGTTTAAATCGTTTGAATCTGTGGTTTCATTTCTTCTTCAGCCATTCAATATAATTAATTGAGTGCTTTGAATTCAGTTCTGAGGCATGTAAGTGTGTTACTCAACATTAAATGCAGGCAATTATGTCCTATCACTCCTTTTTCTTTCACATGCATGATTGTTTTAAAGTTGCATATAGCAAAAACAATGTAAGCAACCAAACCCTTTTCTTGGGCTGCTTGTCATCTGGTAGAATAAAAGAAGCTTGTCCTGCTTAATGTTAATGTTAATCACGGGATCAGAGTGTTTAAATACCTCCATGTTAATGTGATAATCCTGCACTCATTGGGCATTGAGCCTGTAACCCTGACAGTCGTTGGGCCCTCGACATTCAATTCACACTATTCACTAAATGGATGTTTATGCAAATCTGAGAGGAATGCATCTGTTCATTACTGTTGTGGGTAAATCCAGATCTGATGGCCTGCTGTTCGGGTGCAGATTTCTCTCCACAGCAAGGACAACATTAGCATACAGGTACTTGCAGCATGTCCAGACCTGGTTAACCGACTAGACCCTGCTCGGTTCTTATTTGACTACTTTAGGGAGATTTTAAGCACTTTAATACTGAAAACTGTCTCTTTTTCAGACTTTTCTTCAGTGAATTCTGTCAAATGCTCATATTCTAACACACATTTTCACACTAAGCTTCAATATACAGGACAAGCTACAGTACACACTTACATTGAAAATATTATTTTCACAGAGTGCATGTTTTTGTTAACGCCAGGCTTTCACTTTTAAACGAGATAACGTTTCTAAGAAAAAGCAAACCACCCTAAAAGCCCCCAGCCCTTACACTATCCATTATGTAATTACCCATGCCTGGTAATGGAACTGTGATTATTTCAATTTTCTATACAAACTGACCTTTATTCTGAGTCTCTCTGCTTTTAGGAATCCCTAATGGCTATAATCATTAAATGAGTTGGTACTTGAACACATTAATGGTTTACTTCCCTTTATGAAACTGGATTTTAACATCATGCTGGTGTTTTTTTATTTTTCAGAACATTCATATGGCAGTGGTGATGTCCATTAAGTCTAAACCCCTAAACACAACCCTAAACAATCAGTATTTTTGTTCAAGGCAGGTCACACACCATCAGAAATAAGTATTTTAGCCCCCCCCCCTTAGGGTTGTCTCTGCATGTAATTTCTGGCTACAGATGAAAATAATTAATTTGACCAGATATTATTGATGCCATGGCTCATAGCTTAAATGCAAGACTAATAAAACCAATAAATTCAAAGCAACATGTTTTGACACAAATGTTTGATTCAAAATTGGGTTCAAAAACAAATATGCTTGCTTTAAAAATATTGAATTTTACTTTGAAAGATACCCAAAAAAAAAAGAATTCAAGATAACATTTTTACTGTTGTTTGTGAAAAACATGTAAACGTTACTCTGGTTAGTAGACAGATGTGTTGTGTCTCGAGGCAGGGTGAATGGTAGAGTCTTTGAGATGTAGAACGGCAGTGCCCTCTAGGGAAAAACTGCAGAAGGTTTATACAACTGAATTAAAAAAAGTAATGTGCAGTTTTATAATAATAATAATAATAAATGTATTTTGTAAGCGCTTTTACAGGTGCTCAGAGTCGCTTTACAGAGGTAGTAAAAAAGGACATCTTTATCTTTTCCACACTCAGTAAGGATGATAGTAGTTGTAATTGTTGTATTGGTTATTTGTTAAATATATTTAGGCTATATCATATTGCTTTTCTATATGTCCTTGATTATTGGTTAGCAGCACTGTTCATTTTCATTAGCGTATTCCTGTAAACTATGTGATCATTTTAAATTGGATTTAAAATGAGCAGGATTTTGTCTGTGTAACACTGGGCAGTAAACTGGTCACAGTGACTCACTGATTTGGTTGAGAAATCAATGGCTATACTGAAAGACCTTCTGAGCACCTTACCATAATCTCATCTACATGCATATAAACACATTCAAGATATATGTTATGTGCTATAACACATACACTCATCAGTCTTCCTCTGAGTCATTACTGGAGAGTGTTCCCCCAGAAGCACTAGGTCCACAGACTTGTCTCAACCTTTAAAATAATGTTTGGTCCTTTACAGCAAGTTCCTTAACCACAGCGGCACCACATTAAAACTGGGCCAGTACCTGCACTTTTTTTCTATTAGTGAATTTTTATCAACAGATTTTCTTGTTTTTATTGCAGAAATTACAGTCCATGATCGAGAGAACCTTTAAGCTCCAGTGATTGATGGCTTTGCCCTCAGATTTAGACCATATCTGTAACATATAATGCTGCCAATTTCACCATTTGCTGTTGCTTGATCTTCATCGGTCTGAAAAATGAGTATTACTATTGGGGAGGGCATTTGGAGAGGATTGGCAGGATGAGTAGAGGGTCATTAAGCTAATATGAGCGTCATTAATTAGCCATGTTATCCATGTAATATGGATCACACCCTGAACAGCTTCCTAATCATTTTATATTAAGTTAAATCCAGACATATAAAATAGGTTGAAGCATATCGTAAATGTGTCAAACGAGGCCCTTTAAAAACTTGAATAATGATTTGACAATAAATAATGGTTTCCACAAAACACTGGTCATTGTCTGTCCTCGTATTTCTTCTCTTAGATGGTCTACGGAAGAATGTGAGCGCTAGGCATTAGCAGTATTTATTTTTCTGAATAAATAAAATCTCCCTCCTTTGATTTATTTTTCTCATTGAACTAATACTGTTTAACTTTATTCATGACATTTTGAATGTATTCATAAAATAATTAAATCATCTTACTCCCCCATTGTCACCTTATGCCTGGCTCTTATTTTCTTTTCGATTTTCTTTCTGTCATTTATATTACAGGGGTTTCTGAAACCACTGTGGTGGAAGTAGAAACCACTATTAGCCACGTGTCTCTCAAACTCATCGACAAGCAATATTTTATAAAACAAACTTCCCCTTAATATTCACCTCTTCATCTGGTAAATAAGTAACTAGATCTCCTAACAGTGGAGTATTATGTCCTTGTTAATAAGGTAATCATACTTAATACTTAGTATATAATCATCATAATCATTATGTTATTGTAGTGTGCTTTTATTACATGTACAGCACTTTGGCTCGACCAAAAATCGTTTTTAAATGTGAATTATAAATAAAACTTGATTTGACTTGATTAGAGAACATTTTGTGAGACACTGATGTTTGTAAGAATTGATATCCTTACATTAATTGTCCACTAGATGGAGCCCTCGGCCAGTTTAATTTCAGCAGGAAGTTGTGGTTCGGTCAGCCTGTGTGTTGTCGGTATAAACAGAATAATTATACCCAATATGTACAGGGATGTTGACATTTTCAAAAAGGCCAGGGATATACAAAAGGGCTTGAAGCGAGATTATGTAACTTTTGATAGAAGAAATAAAACCTCCCCTTACAAAAGAATACACCATAGCTAAATGTCATACTCAAGACTTGTCAATGTAGCCTCACTTGGTCTGGTATAATCAGAATACATTGTTTAATGTTAGCAAACTTTAGATATACAACTAGACTTAATACCAACATAACTTTACTACAGAGACATCCAGTTATAGTGTTCTATAACTGTGTTGCTATTCCACTACATTTAAGCATTTACTATCATTCCTTATTTGTCATTTATAGCCACCATGTCTTCTTTTCAGCTACAAAGTCTCACTTTTGTGGAAAGTAACTATTCTAAACACCAATACTTCAGTTTTATGTATCCTTGTTTGTTTTTAACCCTTTTGTGTAAAGAAATGACAAACAACTGTGAAGTTACCCACACAATGTGTTGCAATATAACAGAAGTAACAAGAGGGGAAAAAAACGTGCACGGTTCAGGTGATCTCTACTTTTATTTAAATTAAATCATATAGGACTTTAAAAGCATTTTAATATTTACCAAAAAACACTAACCTTTTGCTGAATTAGATTTTTGTCTCATTAATAATCACTATATATTCATAGGTGCTAGGCAGAAAACACAAGAAAAATATGGGCGCACAGTAGGTCAAACAGTATTGAAAGCATATCTAGGAATTGGTTGTAAACAGAAGTCAAGGCACACACATACCACGACAGACATGGAAATGGTACTATAAAAAGTGAGAGAATGTTAGTTACACACATACTTTAAATATCAGTTAGAATTTTGTCATAATTTCCCCCAGCATGTGAAGCATTTTTTTTTTCTTTTTCAGCAATTTAACATTTTTTATTTTTGTTTTCGTAGGAATGTTAGATCATTTATGCAGATTACAGAGCCAATGTTTGCCATGTTGAGTCATACAGAACAATATACGGTTTGGCTATGAATGATGAACTTATGTAAACATTATTAAAAAGAAAAGCACTTTCCTTTATCAGTCATATTTTATGTCCATGCTTCATCTTTTAAAAAATAAGCTTCCTGTGATTAAAAGTTGAATAATTGCACATCAGAATTTCTAAAAGTAAAATAAATGCATTTATATAAAAAAGTTTTCCTTTACCTCCTTTAGTAATTGAAAATAAAGAAGAAAAAAAAAAATAGAACAAAAATACAATTATAAATGTTGATTTTGTGGTCATAGCCCAAAGAGTTAACAATACGAGCGACTGGATCAGCATTTGATGAAATTCTGCGAGTCTCGTCGGGTTTTTAGTCTCTTAGGTGTCTTTATAAAAAGCAGATCAAAGCAGAAATCGTGGTTGGCCAGTGCAGTCATTCATGGTGTGTTTACTCCCCCTTTCTTCATGGTCATTGGAACTCTTCAAGTAATCTGAAAAACAAAAACAAACACACCTATCAGTCATTATTTCTGACAGGCTTCAGCCGTTGACCTGCCAGGTTTCTCTCTCTGAACTCACCTTGACTCTCTCTCAGATTTGTTTTTTTAGAAGAGGCCACAGTCCTTCAGGTTGTTCTTGATGATGACGTCAGTGACAGCGTCGAACACAAACTGCACGTTCTTGGTGTCGGTAGCGCATGTGAAGTGGGTGTAGATTTCCTTGGTGTCCTTCTTCTTGTTCAGGTCCTCAAATTTGGTCTGGATGTAAGCCTGGGCCTCCTCGTACTTGTTAGGGCCTGAGGAGACAGAGTGAGAGAGGAGAGGCTGAGTCGCTGAGGAGAACACACTCTCTGAAGGGTCTTTTTCTGTTCTCTTGTTCAATTCATCTGGAATGATTTTGCCAATCCCTCCATTTTTGCCTCTTTGGTATTATCATTAAATTAGAGTCACATCATCGGTTTGTATCTCTGACCACCCGGCAATGTTTGAAAATCCAACGTGTTGTTTAAACACTCTTTCCTAGTCAGGAGATATTTTCAGTATCCAGAAAGACCCTTCTAACCATCTGCAAAACATATATAATCGGCTCAGATCTTTTCCAAATCCAAACAAAGATTGGACGTCTAAATAACAAATGGTTTAGCTGATTTTAAACAATCTGAAACAAAATGTTAACAATTTACCACGATTAGTCTTTGTTTAGATATTTTCTATTATTTAACATTTTCAAAATAATATGATCCATTGATATTTCTTTCTGTCATATGAAAAGGGGAAAGATATTTTCTGGTTATCTGGACTGGTAAATATAGTCGCAAATAAAGAAATAGGTATAATATCTTTATCATATCAGATTATGTTTTCATCTGTATGGTAAGAAGAGTCTTTACGGATTTTTAACTTCAATGTGATAGTGACACATAAGAGGCAAAAAGTGAGTCTAGATTTAGCCTGGTTTAATGGTTCTATACAGAGGCAGACTCTAACCCTAAGTACAAGAGTAATTATTACACCCTATTTACAAAATATTTAACTTGTTAAAGTAAAGAACTGCTTAAAAAAATTAAATTGTGGTCTATCGTTTGGTCCTGTCCTGTGTTTGTATCGAGGCGGTCCCACCGTACCAGAGTATTCGGGGAAGCAGATGGTCAGGGGGCTGTGGGCGATCTTCTCCTCGAACAGGTCCTTCTTGTTGAGGAACAGGATGATGGAGGTCTCTGTGAACCACTTGTTGTTGCAGATAGAGTCAAACAGCTTCATGCTCTCATGCATCCGGTTCTGGATGGGGAGGGGTACACATGTGGAGATAAAGAGATCGTTATCATTATTAAAAAAAACGTTCCCTGACAACCCAACCTCTCCTCTCCATTTTCCTGGGAATCACCTCCTCGTGCAAAGCTTTTAAACATTTTTGAGGATAAGCCTAACTCACCATCTCCTCGTCCTCAGCCAGGACCAGGTCGTAGGCGCTCATGGCGACACAGAAGATGATGGCTGTGACTCCCTCAAAGCAGTGGATCCACTTCTTCCTTTCTGAACGCTGGCCTCCAACATCAAACATCCTACACACACGCACACACACACACACACACACACACACACACAGTATAAATATACAGTATAATGCCGGAGAAGAAACAACACTCTGCACAGGCCTCGTCATTTTTGTTCAGTGTTCAGTGCAGTTGCTGTGGTAACAGGCAGCCTTAAGGCAGGATGAGGCAAGGCAGCAGAAGGTTTTTTTTACTGGGATCCTGAGTTATTCATGAAGATGAAGGGTACCTAGATGGATGATGGAGGATGTTCGTCTGGACGTTGCAACACTTAAGACTTTCTCCGTCTAACATGGAGAGGAGGCTTTTCAGCTGGCAGCTAGAGGCAGAGTGTAGCCATCGTAGCATCGCAGAGAGACACACTTATTCTTCCTGCTAAGCAGTTTTCACTTTGCAGGATTTGTTTCATTACAGCAGAACTTTGACACCCAGGGAGGGCGAGCTTAACGCTGAGTAAGCGGAGCTCATTATAACAGTGACACACATTAAACTGTTTACCTCAACAGTGTGCTCCTCTCCAGTGCTGCTTACATAGCTAAATATATCACGGCAGTGCAGCACTGAAGAGGTGCTGGAGGTAAACATATGCTGGCTGGATTTGGTTTATGTCTTCCAAAGAGTAATAAATGAAATCAAGACATAAATATGAGTCTTAAATATTATATACGCACCACAGAAGGCGGTTCATTTCCACTGCAGCTTCAAATGAGCTAAAATGAAGTCTGACTGGAGGTGATTTTGAATATTCACAACCAGTTTTCTGTGTTGTTTCAAAAGCCAATATAGTGACTAAAGTCTGCATTAGCTATGTATGAGAGCATGTTTGTGTATGGATTGAGAGCTGACTTCAGATATTAAAATACAAATGGGGAAAACAGTATGTTTTCAGAACATATAGGCAAGAAGAACATATTTACATTGTCAAAATAAGTACATTTCTGAGAAGCATGGCAAAAAACAAGCATTCAAAGACACTTAAGGGCTAGTAATGTGTTTGTATTCAGAAATAACTTCCTTCCTCTCTAATATCCTGCTGTGATACAGACTAACATCCCACACATGTCTACATCTTTTGTGTGTGGGATATGTCACCGTTCTGAAGGTTCCCCTCGGTTTCTCTCTGTGTCTAGAGGGACACGCTGCTTTGGTTAAAGACATATTTATCTCAGCTGCTGAAATCAATCAGCAACTTGACAAATCGGTAAATAAATGTTTTTCTTCTTGCAAAATGTATTGACTTTCCAAAAAAGGGAAGCATTGTGTTGTGGCAGACACAAACCGAAACTCATGACTCATAAAATCAATTACCTCAGTTGGCAAAATGTGTCAGTCACTAGCGATTCATAATTGTCAGAACAAAGTACTCTGTGACAACAGTTGATTTTCTGATAAGATATGACTTTTAAATGGCTTTCTCATTGCGTTTAAAGTCTGTTATTGTCATCAACTAACACACAGTGATTCACTGAGAATATCTTAAAGATCAAATGAGTTTCTGCTTTTGTAATGATTATTTTTTCTGATACATTTCGAAACATGCAAGATATTTCCAGCACAGCTCATAACTAATGTGTGGAGCTACTTCAGGTGGTGAGCATGAGCCTCATTTAATAATGACTGTCCCCTGCTGAGCCCGAGTCCTGAAGGCATGTCGCCCTCTGATTAGTGTGGTTACCATTTGATGCTCTAAAATAAACAGCCATTAAATATAAGTGATGACGTGTTCTAAAACATCCCCACTGTATATTAGCAGGGACAGTTTTTATGTAAACGAATATGATGCGTCTCTTTTGCAAATGAAATATTTAGCTGTACAATATAAAGTGATTATTTTAGACTTTTAATACTTCATCAGCATCTTACAAAATGAAGATTTAAGTAAGAACTGTGAAAGGAGGGAGTGTCTTACTTGAAGTGCAGATCCTTGAAGGTGAAATGCGTCTCCACGATGCCTGTGGTCTTCACTCGGGTCCGCAGCACGTCCTGCTGTGTGGGGATGTAATCTGGCTTGCCTATCCTCTCCAGGTCATTTAGATAGCTGTCGGGAACAAGGACACACACCATATATATTAACACTGTGCAGTAACCTCGCAGAAATAAAAGGGACCTTAAGATGTTAAGGGTTTGGGTTGTTTCAGGTGAAAGGTCTCATCTGTTCCTTCTCACAGACATGAGAAGGCCCGCTAGCAGCTCTGTGTCGTCTCAGCACAGCCAGGTACTAAGTGACAGTGATGAGAGCTGTACAAGGCTGCTGCGCCCTGCTATACCAGATCACACAGCCATGAACATTCATGTTATATAATGTACATTACAGTAAGAAAAGGAAAGGGAAACTAGGACAACACACAAAATAAACCCTTAAAAAATGGGGCAAGACGTCCTTTTTCAGCATGTATGCAATACACACGAGTAGGATTAACATTCGTGTGGTAATATTTAAAAGCCAAATTGACGTGCTGTCCTAGTCTCTTTTTTATCATTGACATGAATGATCAAGCACCCAGTATTCAGGGTCTTGATATGAAAGTGTAAAGATAACAAATTATTTCCGAAACTGAATATCTGCTGACTTTTTGAATGCCTGAAAAGATATGCAACATGTCCATTAGTGACAGGAGCATACAATATATTGTCTGTGACCATGCTATTGAATACAGACATTGTAAAGATGTATATTATATCACATACTCTGCACTATCCCAGCCATGGGAAAGCATCCACTGCAAGGTAAGCAAATGATGTGGATCATGGTAAGGAAAAGCTCTGGTAGCAGATTTCTGTTTCCTGATTACATTTTCCTTTGTTAGCAATCACAAAATCATGTAGTATGGTTAAGCAATGCATACACTGAATCCTGCAATGAGATCTGTTCATATCCACATGCACACAATACATAATGACTTGTATGTACAAACCTATGTCAATGTAATATCTTGACACGATGCTCTGTTTGTCTCAAGAAAAACTTGTATGTGTTCAAAAATGGACAATAAAGCATTCACACTGTTCAGCATACCTAAAGCCTGATAAAACACTAACTATAAGACCACAATCCACTTTCACAACTATAAAGTTACCCTGGTAGACAAATAAAAGTCCAAAAGTACATTTATACGTCATTCTTTCAGCACAATATTTAACTAGCTTGAAAAAACGATGTTATAAAACAAAGTGTTGGTGCTGGATGTTATCCCATTCAGCCCGGCTGTAGATATTAGAGCCTCTGCACCACTATTTCATGCCACGACAGTTTAATCATAATCCTGCTCCACACGGGCAGAGGGTTAGGATGCTTTTGTAGTCCACACATCAGATACTGTAGCACAGCTTGATTTAGCCATTGCGTTTATAAGCCTTTAAGAGTAATTTAATTTGGCCTGCCTACACTTTAATACATAAAAGGCATTCAAATGTAATGTGACAGAATAATTGTCAAAGGTAAAATAATGGTCATTTTAAAAGGTTTTACAAGAACAATTAAAACCATTTCAACATGTTTTTTTTTCACCCGTGAAGTAAACAGTTATGAGTGACCTAGTGTGGAACCCTAATATACTTTATATTCATTCACACAGAATCATTAAAGCGTTAGGAGAGACTGTTTCATGTTGATACTCCCAGAAATGTGGAAAGATGTTTTTCCTAAAATAATGGCAGCTGGATTCATTTTTTATTTGAGTGTAAATGACACGTCCCTCTCTCTCAAACCAGTCATCGCAGAGAGGTTCAGTTAATGAGAGCCGTGCCATCTCTCTCGCTTTATCCTTCCCTTCCTTTCTCTGGCTCTCAGCAGGTGCTCGGACATGGATTATTCTCTACTGCCAGACTCATTTAGTTCCCTCTTAAAGCAACCAACTCTCTCAGAGCTCGACAAAGCCATGACGGTACATTGTCCAATCTCCCAGCTGCTAAATGTTAGCCTGTTAGCTTCCAGGTCCCCTCAGCTTTAACAAGAGCAGTGAGGCAGAGAAGGTGAAGCTATGCTAATACCAGCCAACACAAACAGAGAACAATATCGCTCCCCGTGGAAGATAATACAGCCGTTACTGCAAAGCAATCACTTGTGAAAGAGTTAACACTCCCCTGACAGTTCAGCGCACATTCTGGCAGTGTCATGGTGTTATCAAAGGCTGAGTGTATTAAACAGAAATCAGCTAATTCCTGCTGCAGCTTGCGACAAGACTCAGGCTCTCTGATTTCATCCCACAGGGTACGAGTGATAACCTCTCACCTCTTACCAGCAGCCTCTCACAATTACCTCGTGTTCTCCCTGTTTATTATACTGGTACATTATAACAACGCTGTCAAAAACACTGAGTGCTCAGAAATTAGATTCATTAAAGTAATTAAGACCTGCGGAGAGAGGCTGAGGTTGCCATGTTGTTGTGGATTAGCGACACAACTGGTGTTTGAAAGTGAAAGCCCTGGGTTAAACAAAACAGCAAGGCCTTCATTATTAATAACTGCAGCTGCTCTCTGATGTTATTTTATGTCATTAAGGCACTCACTATGCTGCGGAGTCATTGAGCTGGTACTCTCGGGCCCGTGTGAAGCAGCCCTGCACGCCACCGTCAGCCCACAGCCGCTGGATGACGTTGGACAGATCTTCTGGCAGGATGCCCTGCTCCTCTGCTGCTGCGGACAGAGCAAACAGCTGGCGGGCATCGTCCTGACATGAAGAGACACACACAACACATTAGATAGAGCCGATTTCACAGAAAGATACAAAGTCTAGTGTCACTTGTTTTTCTTTTTCAATGGACAAAGCTGATAAGCACTGCAGAGTTGATTTAGGACATCTTTTTCACATGGCTAATAATATCCCACTTCCTGCAGGGCCCAGTAATGGTGGGCATGGATGCATGTTAGTATTACAACGAGTTTAGAATTGTGATGAAAACTACCATACGTCAGCAGCACAGACTCCTCAGATTTCAGCTGGAAGTAGCGAGGGAAAACATTATGTGCCTGTGGTAATTGGTGCTTTTTAAAAACAACTTTACTTAGACACTGCAGATAAGAGCTCCGACCAAATGTTATATCATTTGAAGTTTCCTGCAGCCCTCTGCACTCCATAGAATCAGACATGTCTAATGTCAAACTGTAAACTTTCACAACAAATGATATTGAAGGAAGTGAAGACACAGTAAAAGTAAACAGAAGAGTAAAGAACCAGAAATGAAGGATCGATCAGTGGCTTACTTGGCATGGTGTCGTCTCACAGTCACCTGCCATAAACTCTGCACGGTAATGAATCCGTCTATTAAAGTTAAGTGGCCTGGAAAAGCAGATGCATCGAATGGCAGGCAGGACATTAATATTAAAAGTAATGGCATGTACTTGCCTTTGTTACCCTGAGACACATAATAAGTGAGCAATGACATTTTGCAACTGTACTTAGTTTGCACTCACTGGGACTCTGAGAAGGGCATCGCCCACAGATTACATCACCTCCACCGCACCCCTCTGACCCGCTGCGTTTGAAGGCTTAAGTAAACTTCTGATGTTAGGTATTAAGAGCAAACTTCCATGGATTAGTTAATAATTAGCTTATTCGACCTGAAATAGTCTTATGACCCTGTCATGAATAATGTTTGCAACTTCTGCAAATCTGTAAGCAGCACATCTTGGAAAACTAGTTAAGAAAACTCCAAGCAATGAGTGATGTGTGCGCTGTATCAAATACTACTTGGTTACCAATAGTCTGCAGGAATTGTCACATTTGGCAAACAGTGAAAGCAGCGTGTTGCTTGTGTTTACATGAAGAGATCAAACAAACCCATTAGGTCACATGCTGATTTCAGAATAATGCTGAATGCTGAACGTTTTCTCTCACGGTGAGACGAATATTGTCTTTTTCATTGAAAACTGTGAAATGTTCCAGATTAGTCTGTCCTCTCTGTAGGTCATAGCAGTGGTGGACGGTGTTTCTCAAATAAACTCAAATAAACTAATTCACTCTGTCCAGCAGAACCTGTCATGCTGAGTTAGCTCCCTTGGCAGAGCGGATCCTCACATATGCCAAGTAGTCAAAAAGCTTTTTCCATACAAAAAAACCCCATATTTATCCAATTCCAACTGAAGGTCACGCAGGAGAGGGACATTTGGAGACAACAAAAGCATCAAAGATTTAGAGAAACTGCAAAGTAATGGTTTTTACAAACAGGTCTAAATTGAATTGCCTGCATGAAGGCATGTTTTAGTGTAGAGCCACCAAGCACAGAACTGTATCCACTACATGACGCACATCTGCTTTAATACTTATTCCAATTCAAGTCTGGGGATCAGGTGGGTTACAATTTCCTATGTGGTATTCACATGCTTTTAGAAACATACATCGACTTTTATAGAAGTATAAGATATGAGTTGAAATATGTGTAATTGGTATGAAATGTTGGACTGTGCTAAGGGAATAAAAGCTGTCTCCTTCTCTCCCCATGTAATCAATTCAAACACAATCTTTTTAGGTTCACTTCGATGTAGGAGTTGACAAATTGATTAATCAAAAGGAACTATGGAGACTCTTCTCCAGATACTTACTTATCTTATACTAGAAATGATCTTTCAAATGATCTGTGAAAATAGAATATATGAATCACATTCATGAGATGATGGCATTTTCTACTCTCATGAGTAATGCCAGCATTTTATTTCTGTCACCTTATCTCCCCGGGTGGAGATGATTTACTGTTTCAAAACACACAGTTATAAACTGAAAATACATGGCACTGTAGGAGTCCATCTTAAGCATCTGCTACCCAGAGTTGATTTCCGAGTAGAGACTGTCACACTGCACTCGAGAGAAATTCTTTAGCTGCATAATTCCTGCTGCCTCAAATCCTCAAGGCGGTGAGGAAGGAGGCGGTGGAGGCTTTGGAGGTGATTAGTAGAGATGATATAACAGATATATTACACTATACTTTAACAGGTTATCAGTTACTTCTGTCACTACCTCAAACACGGGAACAATTGGACTTCTACTTAAATCCTTAAAAGAACATTGGTCTTTTGAGTGTTGTAATGGCTTAAGCTAGCAGCCGCATAATATTTTCCAAAACAATTCAAACATTGTCCTTGGTCTTGCTGCTGCAGAGGATGATGGTGTGTAAAAACCTTCAACTTTAGTGTCAGATACCTACCGCTCTTGTAGGTTCCTCATAGTCGATCTTAAGGTTGGCCATAGCTTTGATGATGGCCATAACGGACTGGATTGTGTTGCTGTAGACAACGGCTCTGTACTGCTTACACTCATCTTCTGAGTACCCATCCTCATGGATAATCCTGAGAACAGAGCAGAGGAAGGGAGGAAAAGGGAGACAAATGGCATGTCAATGTAGATGAAATCACAATGTGACAATGAAACATAACATGCATATCCATAAAATGGTGTTAAATAGTGTTTGCTGGCTTTTTGCCCCAGATCTCACTGAATATTTAATCTCATTTGGAAACGGTTGTCGTTTACAATAACTTAAGTTAAGGTTTTATAATTATCACTTAATTAGATCCATCAAAGAGTATATAGTCCTGCATGTATGACATCATACACTGAGTACACAATGATAAGGCAAGTGAGTATTTTGACCATATCATCATTTGTATGCATATTTTCCAACTCCAAGCTGTATAAACTTGAATGCTTATTGGATTTTAGCATATCAGGGGATGTCTATTTGTGTAATGAGGGAGGGTGTAGCCTAAGGAGATCAACACCCTAAATGAAGGTGTGAATAATTATTAGGCAACTTCTTTTCCTCAGGCGAAATGGGCCAAAAAATAGATTTAACTGACTCTGAAAAGTCACATTTTTCGTGATCACAAAACCTTCCAACGTTTGTTATAAATAGTCAACAGGGTCGCAAGAAACGTGTTGAGAGAAAAGACGCAAATTAACTGCCAAAGATTTGAGAAGAATCAAACGTTCTTGCTTGTGGGGCTTGTGGATGGGTTACATAGAGAGAGAGGCATGCTGTTGAAAAAAGCTCTCAGACTGAAACCAAACAGAACCATCTCCTCTTGTCTGCCATGAGACCAGAGACCACAGCCAGGATGCTCATTGGTTGTGTGATGTGCTGAATGGGAGCTCATTAAAATGCAAGTGAGCTCGCTCCGAACACTGTGAGGCCCAGCCAAGAGACTCAAAGCCCACTCTGTTCTCCCTCATTCAAACATTACTTCTAATAGTTGATGACATGATCATGAAGCACTTTGCACAGTTTGTTTTAGAAGCGGCTTTTTAAGTAGGTATTTTAATCTCTATCCAACATTAGAAAGATGTGGACATTGGATGATTTATCTCATTTTCACTGAAAATAATCATAAAAAATTGTGAGTTTTTGTGAAGATCTGTACAAAGTTTTAACAAGTTTCTACATTTTTTTCTTAAGTTAAGCTATACAATAAGATTAGTAAACTGCAACATCTCAATTTAACTAAGAATATTATTATATTATATGTTGGCTTTAAAACATATTGTAATTTCAATTATGATATCAAATTTCGATTCCAAAAACATTTAGATTTATTGTTGAGCCGAACCAAAGAACCCCAAAAAGGACCTAAACAAACTATAGTTGATGATATACGATAAACAAAACCAAAGAGGGATTTGAAATGACCAGATGAAGGCGCTCTTCACACCACACCACAACATTGTAGTGATATCGTGTGGACCTCAGCTGCATCCTTCCCCTTTTTAAATAATTCAATACTTTTGTGTTAAGAATAACTCGCAAGTCGTGTTTCATTCAGGGAGGATTTCAGCAGGATACAATAACACTGGATTACATAGGAATCCCATCAATAATGCTTTCATTTATTTTGACTGTTATACTTTTGTAAGCAGAATTATCCTTTAAGTCGCAACATGTAGGTGTAGTGGAAACAGGAGGGAACTTTTCTGATCTCTTCCTAAGAAGTAGATACAAATAAACCCCATCATTAGTACTGCAGTTTCCTGTGACTGTCAGAGAGAGGCTCTGAAATCCATTATTTGTCCATCTTACATAAAAAGAGACAACCAGAGAGAAACGTTGCTCATATAAGTCTGGATCTAGTGTGGGACTGAGGGGTTCCTCTTGACTGAGTTATGCTTGTTCTCTATTTTTAGGTAAACGAAAGAAGTCACTCCTACTCCTCTGAATGTAAGAAAAGACTGCGGTGTTGTGCTCTTTCTACTTCCATCTTCCGTCAGTCAAAGGCATAGCTAGATCTTTTTCACAGGGAACATTTGCAACAGCCCTGGTTTAGTGTATGCATCAATAATGTCTTTTTCATGCTATGGCGAGTCAACATGTGAAACAAGTCTATATACAGTTAGTGGGTTTAACGTGATCTCAGTGAGAGGATTACAAACATTAAAGATCAAAAAATGTATAAAGAGAAATAACTTTGGTAATTAGAGATTGCACATGCGTTTTAAGAAAGACTGACAAGAGTGATCCTCGAACATGACCCCAGCCTTTCATTTGTGCTTCATCACACAGAAATAAAAGCTTAGGCTATAAAGACACATACGACTAATGTGTGTCTTCCTTTTTGCTCAAGTCTTTTCACATATCTTTGAGACATGTCATGTTAGTTTGAACATATCAAGCCTTTTCTTCAATGAACACGTTTGAAACTTTGAGAATTATGGATTTCCCTCAGAAAGTTTCAAGTTACGGTCTTACCGCCTTTAAAAGCAGCCTTTCAGATCCGTTAAACCCTGTGCCTAAAAGCAGGAACAATCAGCAAATCAAGTGACGTGTTTTACATAATAACTTGACTCACTTTCTCCCAAACTTAAGTAGCTCACTTGTTCTTCACTTTGTGAGGCTATTAGGCTATAGTTTCCCTGGTCTTTCAGTTTTAAAAACATCCTTTAAGACCTAGTTTAACCCTACAGATAAAAGCAGGAGAAATCAACATGACTCACTCTAAAATGTTGTGTCCTTTTACTGTAGCATTAAAAATGTGAAATAAAATTAGCCATAACAAAGCAAATGTATGTTCTATGTCTTGCCTTAAATGTATTCTGAAGCCTATCTTGGTATATACAATTCCAGGGTCCATATTTTTGACAGACAGTCCATTGAGTGGAAGAAAATATAGTGAAGAAGTGTCCATGCTGATGCTTCAGTGTCATAGAGCACTGCCAATCATCTTTTGTACAACCCGACTAAAATGATATCCTTAGCAAATGCTTACCAAAGCCTTGTCAGATAACAATCAGTGCAGCAACAACAATGGTGGGCCTTCTTCACCAGACTACATCTAGATTGTACACATGCAAAACTGACTGGAAGCATTTAGACTGGAATAATTAGATGTACCTTGGTACCTGATGTGGTCCACGTATAGAGAGTGCAGAACACATACAGATATCTGTATTCTGCGCAGTGACTGGACTCCCCGCTAGATTTGATTAATCACTTAACAAATGTTTCTCTCCTCCATGACGCTGGTACAAAATTATTCATGGTTCAATGTGGGTTAATGGCCTATTTCAAGCCTGTTAGCTCTAAACCAAGAATGCCATGCTAACGGTGCCAAACCCAAAGCAGCTCTCACCATTTCAGCATTCAGAAGATTGCATTTATCGAAGGAGGCACACCCCTGCATATAACATGAGCTGTAGAGCAGAATAAGATATACCTGGTGTGTGTGTCTGCGTGTGTGTGTGTGTGTGTGTGTGTGTGTGTGTGTGTGTGTGTGTGTGTGTGTGTGTGTGTGTGTGTGTGTGTGTGTCTATTAGAAACTACACTGGAAGACACTTATGGACTAATGCATTCTGCTTCCTTCAGACTTTCTCTGGTATTTCTCTTGATGTTCAGTGAAACAACAATTACATGTTGTAATTAAACGCTTCTGCCTGACTTGACAATTTCAGAATTTCCGAAAACCCAGATTTGATCTCTGACATGGGGTATTACAATGAAACACAAGACGATTATTCTTGATTACGAATTACATTAACTTTTCTCTTGTACTATCACAGCAAAAAAAAGTGTCTTATCTGACCTAGGCTGTATGTGGCTGTATGTTGTCAGAACGTGGTGCATCAAGTTGTATACTAGGATCGCATGAGAGTCACATCAAGCACACAGTTTTACCACAAAACCATCAGCAAATGAACAACACAAAGTGCTTACATCCACTTTTGTTATGCGACTTTTAGGATTTTGATGTCAAAGGGTGCCTTTTAATCATTCAGAAGATGGCTGTCGGGGAAACCTATTAACATTTTTGTATATTTTCTTTTTTTTCAATTTTCGTTTCTATTCAGGTTTTCTTTTAAGTGGAAATTAAAAACATGAGTCATTGGAACATGGGGGCCGCCGAGAACATGGTATTATTTTCTACAAAGCGCCACGTAGAAAAGGAACAGGGCTTAGATTTGAAGCCAGCACAGTTGGTTGTAAGGTGATACTTCTTCTTCCCACTTTCTTTAACATCCACAAATGAATGTGCTGCTCTAATTATTCTAACAGCTTTACAGAACATACTGATCCTTAAATAAGTGTTGTAAATCCACCTTTGTGTAAATATGCCAAATGCATGTAATTGTGCTGTTAAACCATAAATTAATTTGTCTGAGAATATGGGAGGAAAAGCAAAACAATGAGAAGTTACTCACTTCATCTGCTTCACAATGGTGCTCTTCCCCGACTCTCCAGCACCTGCAGAGAGAACAAAAACAAGCAGAGGTTAAAAATACACTCCCGTTAGCTGAGAAATGTAAACAGGCAGCCAGCGAGGCCGCCTCACATCTGGACCCTCGTCTCACTCCCCTCCCTTCGCCTCCCAGTCTTGCCTTCAGCAGCAGAACTCAGTTTCATCCTGGACCTGCCTCCTGTTCTCTCTTACATTACACCTACAGCAAGGGGTGTCCAAATGTTGCCCCGGGGGCCAAATGCGGACCGCAGGCCATTTTGAATTGGCCCTCAGCAAATTCAAAAAGTATAATGAAATCTGGCCCACAAATCAGCCTTGTGCTTGTTTTATTTTGTACTTCTTAAATATACATGTACAAATATATTACACAGTATTCATGTTTTAATAAAAAAAACTAAACATTTTCTAACAAATCTAAGTTGATAAGAAAAAAGCCCAATAACTTATTTACATAACAAGTTTGAAATAGACCCTTCCTATTTCCTCTTATTATAAGCAATCTAAGGCTTCCATTTTAAGGAATGAACAGCCAACAAAATTAATTCAACCATATGGAGAGCTGAGATTTAAGCTGTTTTTTTTCAAGGATCAAGCATAATTGACCTACATTTGATTGACTTTGCTAACTTATAACTTAACTGATAAGGCAAACCTCACCTCTAGTGAGCGGCCAAGCCCTTCGTATATTTTTCTGTATGTGGCCCTCGTATAAATACGTTTGGACACCCCTGCTCTACAGGGACTCTGAAACTCACTTCTATCTGTAGTCTGACTCAAATGGTGAAACACAGGGCTTAAATTCATCCAACATCCCGACCTCTCTGAACCTTAAAAGGGACACAATCCACCTTTCATATTCCCTCCTTTCCATATTAAGACAGGTCACTTTATCGTGGTGAACATTTTAATGGAAATGTCTGGCACTGACAGGATATGGGTTTTTCTTATCCACTGCTGTGTTTATTCAAATAGCCTGAAGCGACCAGAGAGAGCTCATCTGCCACAAGGAATCCAACACTACACACACACACTCACATATACACACCCAGGGGTGCCTGTCAGTGCACTCTCCATTCGTACTCGCCTGGGGGGAAGTCTTTCTGGGATGACCCTTAAAATACACTACTACACAGCATGCGGCACGCACATGCACAGCAAAGCCTCTGGGTAGGAATGGGCTAAGATAGCTTCCCGGACAGCTGTCAGCTCCTACAGCTCCATGCTATATGAGCTCAGACTGTAGAATGTGCACTTTGCCTTGAAATAAAATACCCAACCGTCTAAAAGGTGTGCATCACATTTATTAGAGTGAACCTAGGCTGACCAAATGTATCAAAACCAAAAGGATGTTAGCCTCCGTGGTCTGTGTGAAAGGGATTTTCTGTTGAAAGTTGTGTGACATTCTCCATCTTACATCCACCTCTTGGTTCTAATGTCCCCTTTCTTCCCACCAGACAATTTTACAAATGTTATTGCGATGAAGCTCTCATCCATCTGCTGTACAGGCTGTGGACCATATTGTTGAGCAGAAGGAATGCTCTCTTGCTCACTGAGTACCTTGAATTAAAAAGTGTAAACATATTCGATGCTGAAGAAAATGGGAAATAACTATGATGGAGACTTATTCAATGGAAATGGGAAGTGTGCTTTCATAATAATCAAGTCTGAATTCAGACGGAAAATGTTGCATAACTGACAAGCTTTTGTTGGATTCAAGCCACAATATTGGTTTCAAGCCAAAAGACCATCAAAACGTCTCCTTCAATTGAGCATCCACACACCAACGCTGTTTAAGTATCCTTCATACAACAACGAAGGGATAAGCATTAGTGATTTTGTTTTATAATTGTGCAAAACACAGGAGAGTTTGACCTTGCAGCCTCTGTGGCACAGTTGAAAATATGTGAGTCTGTAGACAAAACTACCAAAACACACTTTCTAGACCTGACCAGGGACAAGCTACCATGCATTTCTCTTAAGCCACACACACACACACACACACACACACACACACACACACACACACACACACACACACACACACACACACACACACACACACACACACACACACACACACACACACACACACACACACACACACACACACACACACACACACACACACACACACACACACACACACACACACACACACACACACACACACACACACACACACACACACACACACACACACACACACACACACACACACACACACACACACACACACACACACACACACACACACACACACACACACACACACACACACACACACACACACACACACACACACACACACACACACACACACACACACACACACACACACACACACACACACACACACACACACACACACACACACACACACACACACACACACACACACACACACACACACTCTTTGGAGTTGGCCCTGTGAAACTGAAGCTGCGTACAGTCGATAGAGGCGGTGAATACCTTGGTGCCACTGCTGCTTTGATAAACAAATAGGTAGCAGCTCACCTTACTGTACAACACACACACACACACACACAAGAACTCCTGGCACGTTTTGTATATTTCCAGTTATCAAGCCTGTGCATGTGGAATAGGTTTAGTTTATTGGATCTACTGCTAGATACCCTTTCTGTTTCACACACACACAAAAACACACAAAAATAATAAATATTACTTTAGGAACAAACAAATTGGAGAATAAAGTGAGGTTTTACAGTATTTTCCACCCAAAAAAGGATTAATAAAGAACAATAAACTGCTGCTACAGAAATCCATATTATGAGTACTTGAAAGACCTCAATTCCCATGCATATATGCAGGCAAATGGTGTCCTGCACTGCACTGTTTCACTGTAATAGTGCAGCTGCCAGCTGGCAGTGAAAGGCTGCCAGCAACTGAACAAGCACTTGTACTTTAATAAAACGGTTTGCAGAATTTCTACAGGACTGAATACAATCTTCTTAAAAGGCCTTTTTAATCGTTTTGAAATCACATCCCAGCTCATATTGTGCACCTGTTTAACAAAATATCGCAAACGTAGGCTAGTACCAACCAATCATGCTAAATTCTAAATCAGCCCACATTTCATTCTTGTTACAGTACATTGCTTGAATGTTCAATTTGAGTGGAGAATATTTCACAGTTCAGAAGCTTAAGATGCTCTAACTTCCGTTTCACTGGTAGATGAATTGAATGAAACTCACACACTTGGTAGGCCAGCTGGGACTGCTGAGGGATAAAAGGCTGGGCTGTCACTAGATCGGGGCAATGAGCAATGTTGCAGGTGGTTCTGTGGGGAAAAGCTTTGGCAAAAACCAACGGCCTGACGACAGACTGATACCACTGATACTGTCACTATTACACAACACATTTAGCCTGATCTGTGGCTAATGCTACATATGATCATATCTTCATTTGGACTGAGGAGGCTCAAGACTGCAGCTGCTTGAACACACCAACATCTCACAGTGTGAACAAACCAACAAAGTCTTCCCTTTGATTCTATGTTCTTTCCTCACAAACAGTATAATTTAAAAAACCACTTCAAAACTAAAGCTTCAACCTGTACTAAATATAACCTAACTGAGCTTTGCTTTTAAAAACAAACTGAACTGACATGAGGATGAACTGAAAAACACACTAATGCAGCTCGCAGGAAAATAAATAGTGCCCACTGCCTAGCAACTGGGCAACATGTCGGCCAGTTGTGGTTGTCTTTGACTCATGGTAGTAAATTAGGAGAAAAAAAGGCAGAGGGGGGAAAAATAGAGGACTGCCAGTTCAGTCTGACATTTTATTTGAATAGGACTGCAAAAGTTATAGAAAATAGAAAAAAGGAGGATGGATGTGAGTGTTTCCATTCTTACATTTCCTCTGTCTGCGTGTGTTTCCATTCTTACATTTCCTCTGTCTGCGTGTGTTTGGGAAGAAGGGTTGCTAGCATGAAAATATGTAGTACTAGGAGAAAGCAGAAGGGAATTTTTAATCTCCCAGCAAGTCTAAAGGAAAATCTTTATAAGTAATAAAGTGACTGGCAGACAGACGGATCAAACACCATTATAGGTGGCAGGGGAACCTGTGGGAGGGAGCATGCAGGATGAACAGGGGTCCAGCTGTTGCATCATTATTCAGCATATCTGTAGGTCCAGAGATCACGAAATGTAGAACCACAAGATCCCCCAAAAATCCCTCTCGTCAACTCAAAGTAATGTGTTTGTTTCCGAAAACAAAGTGGGTCAGTGTCCTGTGAGGGATTATAGGTCCTGTCTCAACAAGGAAAGGCAGCTCCTTGCAATAGCACCGGCTATAACAGAACTGGATGTGTTTTTGTTAAGTTAATGCCAATAAAGCATATTGAATACAAGTTTCTTAATTGAAAGAAGAGCATAAAAAGGCGCTCAAAGGCTTTTCTAAAGAGAAAATATATTGTTTCTCTTGTCCTGATTACAGTATTATAGACACAGACGCCCGCAGTGTTTCAATTCACTGTTTGCTGAACTTTCTCCAATGCCCTCTGTATGTAGTATGTACTTCATCATACAGATAGACTTCATTTGGTCTTTAGGTGTCATGAATTTTAAAATAAGCAGAAGCCATCAGCACTAAGGATCATCACTAAGCTCAAATCCCCTGGACATTTGCTGAAGGCTTTAAACTCATTTGTTCTGTTTAAATGTCAGAGATATGTCCTAAAAAGGAATTTGAGTTTTCTTTTGCAGAAAAAGGATCTGAGTAAAGAAATGACAAAGCCTTTATTGACTCTGACCAGGGATGAAACTTGACAGGAAGAAGAAGTGTGCCAGACAGCTCCTCTGTGAGGAATCCTGGCATGCCTGAACCGTCTCTCTAGTTTCGTTATTCAGTGAAGCGCAATAAACTGACAAGTGCGAACATAAAAGGAGGAGAGAACGAAAGGTAGCACCTGTGTTCTGTGTCAAGACTGAGGATCAACAGCTGTCAATGATCAACCTATGTCTTCATCGTGCAGTGCCATGCC